TGTTGGGAGGAGAGAGTATGCTCTCCATGAACATTGGTTTTCAGTGCTACGAACCTCCATTGGTGTATTATTGGTGCAATGCTGCTCTCTGGACACGGTGTGACTATTTGGCTTTCAATGTGATGGTGTGGTCTGGAATTGTCATCTCGCCGTTACTTATTTTCCTTGCAAATTTGTTATTATTTCTTATTTCGAATTTTAAGTTGTTTTGGGGGAAAAAGTTCAGCTATTTTTCTTTTGATTAGGTGTCTAGTCCACATTGGGACAGGGGATTGTATGTGAATTGCTTGATCTGTTCTACCCCTGTTCCCACCCTCCCTACCCTCCCCGTAATCTGTGATCACGGGGACTTCTCAAGTACCACATCAGCTCGGGCTGATGTCGACGAAACAGGACACCGGGGCACTGCCACGACGCAGTGCCAGGCTCGCAGATCGCAGCCACTCTGTGGTACCTCCACGAACCAAGTATCATCATCAGCGACTCAGTAGGCGAACGACTCCAGCGGCATCGAGTACAGCAACTGCAGTACTGGTTACCACCGGGACTCTTCCCGCATGTCCGATCCAAAGGGACCACGAGCCGTTGTCAGATTACCTTCAGCGGGTACAAGCATTTACGGATGTCGTCGCCACCGCTAAGGCACAGCATGAGGCAGCAGAGGCCGAACGTCAGTGGCTGGCCAATGAGGTGGCAGCCCAAGCTCAGCAGACTGCTGAGGCTGACGCAGCGGCCCGAGAGAGACGGAATGTCGCCAGCACTGAGTCCCTGATTCAAAATGAGAATCAGTGGACAATGTTACTCCAGGGCATGATTTTTGTGCCTACGGACGCGCAGGCCGATCCGACACCGGCGGAGCCAGAAAGGAGTAACCTGGCTAACCTGATGTTGGGCATGACGAGAGCGGTCATGTGGAACAACAAAATGCTGCAGGTACACCTGCTCGCGGAACGACAGCTCAGACAGAAGCAGCAGCAAGATACTGCCGCCTTAACAGCTGTCGTCCACGCCGCAGCAACACAGCAGCAGCAACAGCACCAGCTGTTGAACTCCACTCTCACACGCGTCAACAGCATCGAGGCTCAGGCCTCAGCAGCGCCAGGCTGCACGACAGACACGGCAAAGCAGCTCGGGGAGCGCATCGACCATGTCGTCAATCTGATCGGCGAATTAGGTGACTTCACTAGTCCGGCCACAATCAGCACCATGGTGGCCGCCATCAAGACGGACATCACCAAGCTGCAGTCAAGATCGGATGCCGCTCCAAAGGCATACAAGATGCCGCGCTTCAACACCGGCAAGTTTGACGACTACAACAAGACGAACGCTCTGACATGGTGGCAAGGCTTCCTCACCGAAGCATCCTGCCTCTCTGTACCGCCCGACGACATAATGAAAGCGCTCTACCTCCAACTCACTGGAGGAGCACAGGCATGGATGAACCATACCGCGGCCAATTTGAAATGCACCATTGCCCAACTCCACACGCACATTCTGTGGAAGGAGTTTGAGCAAATGTGGTTCATTCGATTCATGGTCCGCAACGTTGTAAAGGCGGCCATGAACGAGGTCTACACCAGCTCACAAGGGAACATGCCAACTCGAGACTGGACGATCAAGTGAAGAGAAGATAGTAACCACTCCAGGCTTCGACTTGACTTTTCCAAACCAACGATCCAAATTCTTTTCACGATCGTGCACAGGACTGCGCACTCGGCAACAAGTACGACTATGCCTCATTCCAGGCTATTCTGGATCGTGCGAACCTGGTCATCCAAACAGATGACAAGGCCGCTAACGAACGGCAGTCCCATCCGCACTACGTGGCTAAGCCAGGCTACCAACGACCGACACATAACAATGTCGTGATTCCTCACGAATCAATCGATCTCCACGCTGCAGTAGCATCCTCGAGTGATGGAGTTGTCGCAGCGCTCCCGCCGAAGCGTCCCAAGAGAGTTCGGAAGAACAAGGCGACACAAGCAATGACATCGACGGGAACTGGTAGCAACCATGAACGGCATACAACATAACCAAGGAAGTATTTTGGACCTTCGTCAACGGTACGGATATTGCCTATGGTGCAATAGTGTAAACCACACTACCACACAATGCTCGGACAATGGCAAGGCACGCGTACCTTGTCCAGCGAACTCGGGAAACTGAGTTACGCAAGGAGAGGGGCGACGCCTCTCCTCACTCCGCCGGAACCGGTTGCCTTGCTAGCAACCGATATCACGACCGAGGAGCATGCATTAGCCGCTGATTCCCGTGCTACGTACGAGGATTATGCCGCCCAGTTGGTGCCACCATTAGACCGGCCTAGCCACATGCACTTAGATAGTGTATGCGCAGCCTGTACACCGTCGACAAGTGAACCGATCAGTTCGCAACTAATTTCCGAGGACTCGACGGCGTGGTCAAGACTTGAGGAGCTTGACCCGCTCACGAGACAAGACTTCGCTTGGATGCCTCCACCCTCAACCAGAACCTTGCCAAGGCCGCATTGTAACGCCTTGATGGCAGAGCGTAGGTTGCATTGTAACGCCTTGATGGCAAATCTACGCTCCAATTTGCACGCTGCAATACCAGCTCCGTTGACGGACGACGTAGTCCTATCTTGCGAAGATTGACTGCGAGTATGCCACCCAAAGACCGATGCGCCTTTGCTCTATATCCGCATTCAAGTCGGAAAGGCAACTTGCAGTGCCTTGATTGATTGCGGAGCATCTCGCAATTTCACGAGCCAAGCTTTTATGGCCCGCGCGTTCGAAGGAAGACACAACCTATGCAAGTTACACTCGACCGATGCATTGACAGCGTCCCGGTATACTTTGCGCGCCTTGCATGCAAGCCGGTGTCTTTCGACATCCTCGACACCAAGTTTGACATGATTCTAGGCATGCCTTGGTTGCGTAGCGCCGATCATCCGGTGAACTTTCATGACCGAACCGTTCACGTCCATGATCGGAACGGAGTGTCACTCCCATGTACGGTCGCGACCCCTCACACTTCGATTGTTTGTCACGTGGTTTCCGTTGCAAGGATTCGCGACGCCATAGCTCGGAATGACGTCGAGGAGATGGGCCTTGTTTTCTTACATGCCCTCCCCTCGCAGGACGGACCAGCCGCGTCACCGCCGGACCCACGTATTACCCACCTCTTAGATGGATATGGAGACATTTTCGAGGCGCCCACCGGAACGGTTCCGGATCGGCCCATACGTCACGGGATTACTCTCGAGGCGGGCGCCGTCCCTCCGCGTGGATGCATTTACCGCATGAGCGAAGAGGAACTCGAGGTGCTTCGYGCACAACTCGATGACMTTCTYGACAAGGGCTGGATTCGCCCTAGTTGTTCGCCATACGGTGCACCAGTTCTCTTCGTCCGGAAGAAGAACAAGGACCTACGGTTGTGCATTGACTATCGAAAACTTAACGCACAAACCGTTAAGAACGTCGGCCCGCTCCCTCGGATTGATGATCTCCTCGAACGGTTGGGCGGCGCGTCGTACTTCTTGAAGTTGGACTTGAAGTCGGATTACCACCAGATTGAAATCCAGCCTCAAGGTCGCTACAAGACCGCCTTCAAAACGCGGTATGGGCATTTTGAGTGGGTCGTGATGCCATTTGGACTCACCAATGCCCCAACAACCTTCCAAACAGCCATGACAATGGAGTTTCGAGACTTGCTCGATCGTTCTGTCCTCATCTACCTCAACGACATCTTAGTCTATAGCAGGACGCTTGATGAGCACCTCGTACACCTCCATGTGGTGTTGGATCGTTTGCGAGCAGCCAAGTACAAGGCAAACCGCGACAAGTGCGAATTCGCCAAGCAAGAGCTCGAGTACTTGGCCATTATGTGACACCGAAAGGCATTCGTCCCTTAGCGGACAAGATCCAAGCCATTGTGGATTGGCCGGAACCCCGTTGCACGACGGACGTACACTCTTTCATGGGTTTGGCTGGATACTATCAGCGCTTCGTCGAGTCTTACTCCAAAGTGGCAGCTCCTTTGTCGAGACTGCAATCCCCGAAGGTACCATTCGAGTTCGACAACGCAGCTCGTGGTGCGTTCAATACGTTGAAGCCGGCGATGCAAGACGCACCGGCACTCCGTATCTATGATACCACCCTACCCACCCAAGCGACTACGGATGCTTCTGGGTATGGTATTGGTGCAGTATTGGAAGAATGCCACACGGATGGTTGGCACCCGGTCGAGTACTTCTCCCAAAAAGTGCCTCTCATCAACACTCTCGACGATGCTAGGAAGAAAGAGCTACTCGCGTTCGTTACCGTTCTCAAACGGTGGCGCCACTTTCTTCTCGATCGTTAGCGTTTTAGATGGAACACGGGCAACAATCCGTTGACCTTCTGCAAAACGCAGGAGACGGTTACTAGCACGATCGGTCGATGGATGTATTACATCGACCAGTTCGACTTTGAGCCGTGCCACATTCCCGGTCTTGCCAATCGAGCAGCGGGCGCCCTCTCACGACGGCCCGATCTTTGTGCCCTTGTGACCACGACGTTCGACCTCGACGACGATCTGCAACAGCATTCCGTCAACGGCTACAAGTCTGATCCGACGTACTCAACGCTTTATGCGGACCTATCATCGGATCATCCGCCGGCTGGTCATTATCGTATCTCCGACAGTTTCCTACTCCATACGAGAGGGAAGGACTTGTTAGTGGTGCCCCGAGATCGCATCTTACGGACTCGTCTTCTCGGCGAATTCCACGACGCACGACTTTCCGCACACCTTGGAGTGAACCGCACATTGGCTCGCCTCCGCCAGCGTTTTCACTGGCCCGACGTCCTTCACGACGTCATGAGGTACATTGAGTCATGCGCAGTTTGCCACCATAACAAAGGTCGATCTACGGTCCCTTATGGCAAACTGATACCGATGCCGATTCATCGGGCACCTCGCCTATCCATTGCTATGGATGTTACAGGTCCGTTCCCTTGCAATCGCCTCGGTCATGACGACATTCTCACGGTCGTTGACCGTTTGAGCAAGTACGCTCGTTTTCTTCCATGCAAGTATCGCGCTACAGCTCCCGAGCTCGCCCAACTCTTGCACACCGGCTGGATTACACGCCACGATGTTCCGAAAGATATTGTGAGCGACAGAGACACTCGCTTCATGTTTGCATTTTGGACTTCCCTCATGATGGAGTCTCGTTCGACGATGAAGCCGAGTTCCACACGGTACCTGCAGACAGATGGACAGTCGGAACAAGCGCATCAAACCCGCTCAAATGATGTTACGTACACTCATCCGTCCCGACCAGAAAGATTGGGTTGACCGGCTTCCCAACATCGAGTTCACCTATAACACTTCGGTGCACCAGGCGATCTGCATCACTCCATTCGAGTTGCATCACGATGGAGAGAAAGCCCGAGTCTTTGCCGATCTTCTTCTACCACGAGCCGCCGACATAGACGTCGCTTGCTCTCCCGCTTCCGTTCGGAAGTATCGAGACTTGTTGATCAAAGCCCGTGCAAACATGCAAAAGGCTCAAGTCCGCATGCAGCAGCAAGCTAATCGACGTCGACTCCCATGTCCTTTCCGCGAGGGAGACCTTGTTTGGGTCCTCGCTGAGGAATTCGCGCTCGAGCAGGACGTCTCGCTCAAACTCCTCCCGAAATGGTTTGGACCATGGAAGGTAACTTCTACAGCAGGCGACGACCCTGCAGGTCCTTCCTTTGTGATTGCCATCCCCCCACACCACCGTGTGCACCCGGTCTTCCATGCGTCGAAGCTGGCCATCTACACGCCACCTTCCGAGGATGAGTTCCCGTGCCGACGATCACAAGATCCGCCCTCTACGGACGGACACCAGGAAGTTGACCGCGTCATCAGGCACCGCAAGTTTGGCAACAAGCCAATGCAGTACCAAGTCACTTTCAAGCAATGTGACCCTGATGACACTCGTTGGATCTCCCACGCAGACTTACAGGCATCTGCACCACTCATCTTCTCCGACTATGAGAACCGGAGACTTGCGAAGGACAAAGTTCGTCCCTCCCAACCCACCCTGGTATCGGACAGACAACTTCGCCCTCGTAGGTAGCTCGGTCTTTTAAGGTGGGGAGTGTGTTACAATCTGCGACTTCACACGGGCCTCCACAGGCCCGACACACCGGTTCAGGGGGACCCAGGCCGGCCTCGCCAAAGGCCAGGCCTTTTTCCTCCCGGTAGGCCCTATTAGGCCACCGGTTGGGCCTCAGCGCCAGCAGACCCAGGTCTGGCCCAAACGACAAACCGTTTTGGCCTGGCGGCGCTCTTGAGGCTGCCGCCCGCCGGTCTGGGCTGAACGGTCATTTCGCTGGTTCAGCCCACGGCGTAGGAGGCCAGCATCAAGGTCGACCGACTGCCGGACGGTATTTAGGCCGGTCCAGCGGCCATTCTCGGAAGGTTGGAACGAGGAGCAGCCAGAGGAGCGCTGCGCTATTCTCAGGAGGCACAACGCTAGGATCTGCAGCGCTAGTTTAGCGCACTGCAGTCCAGGAGAAGCAAGGACGAGCGAGGGGACTTACCTGCGACCGTGGAGCGCCATAGCTCCCGCGACCTACAGCAGATCTCCCTCCACTGCCAAGGCACCAGCTTGTTACCTGCAGGTTAGGCCTGCGGCCCTCCTCCGCTTCCCACCTCTACCTCTCTTCTCCATCTCCATCCTCTTCTTCTTTTTCAGACTTCTTCTTCTTCTTCTTCTTCAGACTCCTTCTCCCTCTTCAGACTTCTTCTTTTTCTTCAGATTGGAGACTTGATACGAGATCAGTGTTGGACTTCAGTGATAAGAGGCTGTGATACTTACCGGATTCGAGACTTGGAGATTGTTGGGATTGATACTCGGTGGCATCACAGATTGGACACCGGTTACATTAGGACTTTGTACCTCCGACATTGGTGACTTATTGTCCACGACATTTTGATCTTGTCCGAGGACATTTTGGACTACCATATCGGTGACCTATTGGATTCTATCTCGGTGACATCTGGCGCTGCCTACATCTCCCACCTCCTTCGCCCCTCCTCCCACCTTTCATCTGTGCATGGTTGTACGGGGCCTGAGCATTGTCTATGATTGGCTCAGACCCCACCATCTCACGATTGTTTGTGTGTTGAGTGATATCTGTACGAGTTCAGTCTATGTGAGTCAGTCCATTTATCAGACTTCCGCTGCATACATGCTCATCCTATATTGGTTGATCTTTGGTTCTGCCCAGACTTGTTGAAGTATTCACGAGTATGCAACAGTTGGAAACAAGCCTGTGGGATCAGCCACTGGGCCTAGCTCAGCTGGTACACCCGCAGACTATTGGAAACAGGCCTGTGGGATCAGCCACTGGGCCTAGCTCAGCTGGTACACCCGCAAACTGTTGGAAACAGGCCTGGGGCACCAAAGCCATTGGCCCTAGCTCAGTTGGTACACCCCCCCCGACTATGGAAATACAAATTTGAGTTTGAACTCCATTGAAAGGGGCTGAATGGAATACTACAATCCTGAATTACCTGGGGCAGTGTGGCATGTGGGAGGTGTTATAGGGCTCCGCCCCACCTCTGTCCTTCGGGACATGCGTTAAAATTGGAACCATACCAAAAAAAAAAAAAAAAAAAAAAAAAAAAGATTAGCATGGCCCCTGCGCAAGGATGACAAGCATGATTGCAGCTAGATGCATTTTAAATCGGTGGTAACTTCAACAAAGTGCATTGAAGATAGTGCTAGTGTAACAGTGGGGTGAGGAAGAATGATCCCACCACGGTGAATTTGGGGGATCTTTTCTGGGGTTATTCCTCGAGGACGTTTCTCATTGTACTCCCCACAGTTGGATGAATCCGGTAGTAGATTGCAGGCCGGTTCATTGCAGAAGTGCGGCTGGCCAGGCTGTGTACTGTAAAGTTGCACGGCCGACAGTGTACAAAACGAGAGCTCATTTTTGGGGTGGATTGCTGTCGGGCCGCTGCGCTATTTGATGGAAGGAAGAAAATAGGAGGCAACAAAGAAGAAGAAGAAAAACTTGGTGAAAACGACGAGGGGGAAGGAGGTAAAGGAGGAAAGGGGCATAACTCATTCGTTCCTCGGCGGAATCGAGTGAGATGATATGCTAGACTGAGGTTTCCTAACAGGGCGAACTCGAATCTGCATCTAGATTAAGCAAAGAGTTAGTAGGTAAGAAGTTAGAATAGAAATGGCGTGCGCGGAGTAGACGAAGGGCGGAGAAGAACGAAACTGGAAAATGGTGTATCTCGCACGTTTCTTGGTGAAATCGGGTGAGTGAGGAGTCTAAATGGGGGTTTTGAGGCACTCCGGATCAAATGGTCCCACCAGAACGTCGATTGGGTTGATGGTTCGGACGGTACATGGTGTGGGGGTTGCGCGACTACTACAGGGAGTTTCAAATATGGAAATGTACCTTTCCATTTTCTGGTGAAAGATTCGTTTTCAATTGTACTTTTGTTGAGTATTACAGCGATCCTTGGATCCGCATCTGCCGCCTCCCACTCTAAACTAGCCACTCATTTGGGATCAAGGTTTGCCCTCTGCATTGAAGTTGCACTTAATTACGGTAGTGGGAGGCTGTGCAAATCTAATCGGGATAACAACCGGGTGCATTCAGAAGCGAAGAGGAAGGGAAAAGGTCGAGAGCAGCAGAGGTGGAGTAGGTACAGAAGGAGAGGACAGAGAGAGAACCAAGGAAGAAAAGGGAAGTCGCATGAGAAGGAAGTCGTGGACATGTTCTCTGTCGCTGCGATTGATCTTGTTACTCCAAGGCAATCATCATCAACGTCACCACTATCCGTCGTCACAATTGCTGAAGTTGTCTTCGTCAGCATAAGTCAAAGAAGTACTTCGAGGTGCTGCTCACGGACGTATTCGCTAGTGTGGTCAAGTTTGAGGTCTTCACTCTGACGCTGCTCGGGGCCCTGATCTGGTCTTGCGCTTCACAGGGCTTGTCTCAGCAGAGCAGGATTATGCCGAACTAGGCTTCATGTGAACCCGGATGCAGTTGGAGCCAGATTAAGTCGGAGTGGCATATGAACTAGAGAAAACAACAGGCGTGTGGGAACGGAGTAAGAGGAATAGGATTAGACTAGGAAGCTTTGAGGTAGAAGGCAAGAAAGGGTGAAGAGAAGAGCAGGGAACATAGCCAAGTGAACCTGTAAAGTGTGAACAGAAGTGACCGAGGGGCAGCGTTGGAGACTGTGAATCTGCCCATGATCTTGCAGATATTTCGTTTCTAGTTGGCACTTTCCGTAAGTATCAGAGTCGAGGGTCATCTTCGAAGTTGTCTAAGTCATCTTGTTCATTGCAGTTCATCTGTTGTGGCTCGCCCTCGCAAGTCTACCTTGTGGTACTTAGCACTTGCATTTGTTCATGACATGCTCATTGTCAAAGTCGCTCACACTGGGGTTTGTTTTCAGAGGAATGTGATAGGGTGTATCCTTTGGCAATTCGATTGAGAGTCGAGCCCGAACGGGCGAACGGATTGGATTCAGAGAGAGAGGGCAGAGGAGCACTTACCTAGCTAGCTGAACTGGCGAGGTGGGGTGAAAGGAAACTCATACTACTGCGCAATGAACAAGGTGCACGAACCTGGCCGGGCTCCGGTCCAGATACGTGATGACGTGAGAGGGAAAGCGACCAAGTAGGAGGGAAGACGAGAAAGGTTAGATGATGAAAGAAAGGGCAGGTCTTACCGGAATCATGTTGCTGGAAAAGCTCAGCCTTCAGCATAACAAGGAGGTGTAACTTCCTATGCTTCATCAGAGAATCCATTCTTGTTTGACGAGTTTTGTGCGCAGTGGAGAGAGTCGTCTTCAGGTTCGATATCATCTTACCCTCGTAGAAGATACGCTGTTCGATTCGAGGTACCCCGATTTAGTTGTGATCAATAGGTTCGTGAACCTGGCCGAGATTCCCATTAGATGCATTCATGAGAGAGAGAGAGAGAGAGAGAGGAAGAAGAGGCATAAAAGAGGCATATGTACCTGATCAGTGATCATGCATCTTTCCATGTTCTAGCAGAAGATTCATAATCATGTTATGAGATGGAGTCCCGTTGCTGCTGGTGTGCCTGGTAGTCGAGATCCCTACACTACTCCTGGTGGTCGACGTCACGATTCTGTACTCAATGTTCGTAGGTGACCTTCGGCCCCTCTCACACAACATCGTGGCCTTCCTCTCAATTGCGGCCACCTTCCTTCGGTTAAGTGAACCAAGCCAAGGTTTCAAGCCAAGTTCATTGGAAAGGGTTGATATGCGAGGAACGGGTGCTGTCATTCGTGTATGGCTGGAAGTTGTTGTTCTGATGATTGCGACTGATTCAAGTTGTTCCTGTTGCTGATATGCACTTTGGCACTATTGCTGCCATTCTCCCATACCAGCGTTGATGCTCTTTGGTGCATCGCCACTCCTACCGAGCGGTTACTCAATACCAGTGCGGCGGCTGGTTCATAGGCAATTATTACTTTTGGATTCAGCTGCTGTAATGGCAGGAACCTTTAAGTTGAAGGCTGCTATAGTTCCCTCAGTTCAATATGGGTGATTGGTCTTTCTCAGTAGAGAGTTGTACTTCGTCCAGAGGCTGTCATTTAAAAAAGGGGAAAAAAAATAGCAACACAGGATGAGCACGTTCGTGTATGTTGTCGTGCCTATGCAAAAGCATAGGCATGTGCCTCGTCAACGGCATTAGCAATATTGTTAAGAATCCGTTGATGAGAAATATTAGTATGCATAGTAGTGAAATCGACCATATGAGGGGCCAGACCTCGAAGAGAAGCTTTATTTTTTTTTAGGTCAAGCATGACCTCATCACTGCACTGGACAATCCAACATCGTCGAATACTTTCAGATTGGAAGAGTTGATAATCTTTTTCGCAAAGAGTATGGATGACGCCTTGAAGTGCCGCACTCAAACGAGTCAATGTAGGTGTCGTACTAGCCACAGGCTTGTGAGGCGGTCGGTGATGCAAACGCTGGACTCGTTGGGAGGGGCGCAGGTCACTTCGTTGGGACGTATGAGAAGAAAAAGAAGAAAGATTGTTTCGGGCAGTGATACCAAGAATAGTACAGAGTGTGGGAGGAGACTTATGGGCCTTAAGAGCTCAATAAAGATACAAAAAAATTATCGGCATGAGGATAATTTCAGTAATTGTTCCAAAGTGCATGGCTATTCAAAATGTCGGCCGTTGTTTCGGTGGGCCGAGAATACGTAGGACTGTCAAGATGAGTAGAAAGATGAAAACGATACCAATTTTTACAACAAATAGCCAGATTATGCGATGTTTTATCCACAGGATCAATCGCAAAGGATTCTTGGAGTTGATGCAGGGCCGTATGTGTGTCTCAAGGAGCGAGGTTGTCGCAAAGGTGATGCAGCAGCCATATTGCACTCACAGTGACGCAAAACTGCAGCACGCCACAAGAGCCAATTGTGGAGCTAGGGTGGCTGTGCAGGATTGTCGTGCTGTCCGACGAAGATACACAGCAATATACTCATCAATACCAACAGCCAGTGCTTCAAGTATACCCCCCACTACCCCATTCAGCCGATATTTAGAGCCCTCATAGAATTGGCAACGGAGGTTCGCATCCGGAATCAGATCATAGTTGGCGGAAACAACATGGCCGTCAACCAGATCGGTGCAGTTAGAAGGCCCGACGACAAGGATAATCAGCAGCACCAGGTAAGCGAAGTGACATATTGTATATATGCGTCAACGAGATCGGTGCAGTTAGAAGGCCCGAAGTGACATATTGTATATATAAATTGTCACAATATGTCACTTCGGGCCTTCGACAACATGGCCCGACGACAAGGATAATCAGCAGCACCAGGTAAGCGCAACGGAGGTTAGCATCCGGAATCAGATCATAGTTGGTGGAAACAACATGGCCGTCAACCAGATCGGTGCAGTTAGAAGGCCCGACGACAAGGATAATCAGATCGGGTTGACGGCCATGTTGTCAGAGCCCGACGNAAACAACATGGCCGTCAACCAGATCGGTGCAGTTAGAAGGCCCGACGACAAGGATAATCAGATCGGGTTGACGGCCATGTTGTCAGAGCCCGACGACAAGGATCGGTGCAGTTAGAAGGCCCGAAGTGACATATTGTATATATTAAACAACATGGCCGTCAACCAGATCGGTGCAGTTAGAAGGCCCGAAGTGACATATTGTATATATAAATTGTCACAAAGTTATCAGAGCGCAAAAGCGAAAAAAAACAAAAGGCAACAAAAAAGATATCAATTCATTTTTTATCTTCTTACTTACAACTCCCCCTGTTCAGAACCTCTTGTGTAAAAGGGCGCCCACGTGGATGTAGGTTGAGCGGCGGCTGCCCCACCCCTATGTGTCTGTTACATGCCCACTTGGGCGATGTACATAATAACCGAGGATCCGCAATGTCATAAAAAGGACTGAATGGACAATGTCGTTCTAGTGAAATCTCAACAAGCAGTGTACATCCTGATACATACAACAACGGTGTTTGATAGCGCAGTGGAAGATTTAGATACAAGTCCTGACCTGACTGGGACTGACCTCTTTCACGTAGTATAAGATAGCTAAGCAGAAGGCTAGAATACTAATGACGAGCCCAACTATGTCACCACAAGGTGTGAAGGGGCATGGCCCTATACACAGGAAGAGGCGCCAGGTCCAAACATGCACAGGAGGGGAGAGATGGGAAGTAGCATTAGCTGTAGTCTTCAGCGCTGGGCGCCATAGCTAGAGTAGTACTATAGAGAGAGAGATTGGGCGGAGGCCAGAGGGACTTGCAGCGCCATCGCTCCAGCTTCGTCTTCAAGGTACCTGCAGCACAGCGCCACCTTCACAGGTTAGTACCTGGCATATGAGAGAGAGAGTTCTTCTTCGTCTTCTCAGTCCACCATCTCCCTCTCACCCTCTCATTATCTGACTTCAGTGCATCAGCAGACTTAGAGAGAGAGATCAGTCCACCATCTCCCTCTCACCCTCTCATTATCTGACTTCACTGCATCAGCAGACTTAGAGAGAGAGAGAGAGAGAGAGAGAGAGAGAGAGAGCTTGGTGACATTTGGAGCCAGACTCGACATTGGACTTTAGGCATTTTGACGAGGGATTATTTGGGACTTGTAGCTCAAACGAAGGTTGTCTTGAAAATAGGCCAAAAATGGCCTGAGCTAAAACCCTGGTTTGGTGCCTGAGTTTCGGGGCAGGCCGAACTCATGAGGGCCCGGAATTGGCCCTCGGTTTCAGGCTGAAAACATTCAGGGCCGGAAAGGCCCTTATTTAGCCTGAAACGACACAGGGCCTGTGGGCCCTTGTTTTCAGGCTTTCAGGCTGAAACGACACAGGGCCTGTAGGCCCTTGGCCCGTGCAGACTGTTGCAGGTGCAGCATGTAACACCCCCCCCCCCTATGAAGTCAAGTCAAAGCGAGGGCGAAGCTGACGATCTGAAAGGGGAACGTGGATGCGGGTGCGACGTGGAGCCGAAGATACCGGCTTGCCTTGCATCTTGCGTTCGTAGCGTGTGAGAACATCCAGAGCTGTTGCTTGGAATTCCGCACAGGTTAACCAACGGCCAGCTCGGTGACTGCAGTACGCAAAGGGTACCAAGTACTCGGTTGGGCTGTTGCCGTAGCGTCGTTGGGAGATGATGTTGCCGACCTCTTGAAAACCGTCCATAGAGGGTGGGTCTTGTGATCGTCGTCCGGGAAAATCATCATGTTCCGCTGGCGTGTAGAAAGCCAACTTGAAGCAATGAAAGACCGGGTAGACGGGCAAGTGGGCGGGCACCTGAATGGTGAAGGAAGGTCCTTCAGGTGCATCCCCAGCGGGTGCCACGATCGACCAAGGCCCCATCCATTTCGGGAGGAGCTAGCGAGAGACATCTTGTTCAAGGCTGAATTTTGTGGCAGAAACCCAAACGAGATCGCCGACGCGGAATGGGCAAGGAAGACGCTGGCGATTGGCCTGTTGGCTCATGCGTTGATGCGTCTTGGCCATCTGGTCGTGTGCCTTGACAAGTAGCTCTTGCATCTGTCGCAAGAAAAGAAGATGGTCATCGCTCTCGGCCGTTCGTGGAATGATTGTGTCCAACGGAGAAGTGATCGGCGAGCCGTGCTCAAACTCGAAGGGGGACATCCCGATAGCCGAGTGGATGGACGAGTTGTATGCCAACTCGACATCCGGCAGCCGCTCAACCCAATCCTTTTGGTCGAGACGGATGAGAGTGCGAAGGAGAACATGTGCGGTTTGATGCGCCCTCTCCGTTTGGCCATCGGTTTGGGGGTGGCGAGCCGAACTTGGCTTGAGAGATGAGCCCCAGCGTTTGACAAGTGCCAACCAAAAATCGAAGGTTTGATGAGTGCCAACCAAAAATCGGACATGAACCGAGTGTCGCGGTCGCAAACGATTTCCTTGGGGTAACCCTTGGTTCGAATCCAACCGGCGTAAAGAACCTCGGCCAACTCCGGTGCCTTGGCATGATAACGGCAGGGCAAAAACATGGCGAACTTGGTGAGTCGGTCGAACACCGTGAGAATCTCATCCACTCCGGTCTTGTGCTTGGGGAACGGGCGGGTAATGTCCACGACAATCACTTCCCTTCGCCGCAAGGGGCCCGGTAACGGTCGCAACTCGTCGTACGGACGATGATTGCGGGATTTGCAACGTCGGCAAACCTCGCATGACTCGCAATAGCGTGTGACGTCCTCGAGAAGACCAGGTCACCAAAAGCGCTCGCGGAGTCGGCCAATCGTACGATTTGACTCCAAAGTGTCCAATGGCGGGAGCAAGTACCCCTCTTGGATCCGACAGTGTGATGGCGCCGGATTAGGAGAGGCGCAATTTGCGTACTTGTCGCAAAACTCGGGATCGACTTGATAGCCGCGGATGAAGCTGTCCCGCAAGTTGTCGTTAATCTCAAAGTTGAGTAGACTGCGGTACAATGGTCCGGACGCTGTGAAAGAGCATCCGCAAAACGGTTTGACTTGCCCGGAATGTGGTTAGGGAAAAAGTCAAACTGGTCGATGAAGGTCATCCAACGGGCAATGGTGCTATTGACCGTGTCTTGGGTCTTGTAGAAGACCAATGGATTGTTATCCGTTACCCATCGGAACTGTCGTCGAGCAAGAAGAAAATGTCGTCGGTGCTTAAGCGAGTGTACGAAGGCCAATAATTCCTTCTTTTGTGCGTCGTCAATCGAGTGCACGACGGGCACTTCCTTGCTAAAGTACTCAATCGGGTGCCAGTCCACACCGTCATGTTGCTCGAGGACGGCACCAATGCCATAGCCGAACGCATCAATTGTGACACGTGTCGGCAGAAGCGGATCGTAAATGCGCAACACTTCTGCAGATAGCAATGCGGCTTTGAGAGCCAAAAAGGAAGTCCGCGCATTGTCATCGAAGTCGAATGGCCGGTACTCGCATTGAAGCTTGGATAAAGGAGTCGCGATCTTCGAGTATCCCTTGATGAAGCGTTGATAGTAGCCGGCTAAGCCAAGGAAGGAACGAACATTTATGACGGTCTTCGGCTCCCACCACTCTTGGATGGCTTGAATCTTGTCCGACAACGGCCTGATGCCCTCCGGTGTGACAAAATGGCTAAAGTATTTCAGCTCTTGCCGGACAAATTCGCACTTGTCACGGTTGGTTTTGTACTTGGCGAGGCGGGGCGTCTCCAACACTCGTCGAAGGTGCTCAAGATGATCCTCCAATGTCCGGCTATAGACAAGAATGTCGTCTAAGTAGACTAGTACGAACCGGTCCAACATCGCACGAAACTCGTTGGTCATTGCCGCTTGAAAGGTCGTCGGGGCATTGGTGAGGCCAAAAGGCATAACGATCCACTCAAAATGCCCGTACAGTGTCTTGAACGCGGATTTGTAGCAATCTTGCGAGCGTATCGAGATTTGATGATAGCCCGACTTCAAGTCCAACTTCGAGAAGAATTTTGCGCCGCCCAAATGCTCGAGAAGGTCGTCAATCTGCGGAAGAGGTCCCGCATTCTTGACGGTTTGTGCATTGAGCTTGCGGTAGTCGATGCACAAATGAAGATCCTTGTTCTTCTTCCGTACGAAGAGAACTGGCGCACCGTATGGTGCGCTACTAGGGCGGATCCAACCCTTGTCCAACAGATCATCGAGTTGCGTGTGGGGAACCGCGAGCTCTTCCTCGCTCATGCGATAGATGCATCCTTTCGGTGGCACGGCACCGAACTCAAGAATGTCCTCGTGGGAGATCGGCTGATCCGGCACCACACTGGTAGGAGACTCGAAGATGTCGGTGAACTCGTCGAGCAACCGCACCGCTTGGGGGTCCGAAGACAAGTCCGTAGGTGACGATTCGATCGTCGTGGCGACTCGTAGAAAACATAGGCCTATCTCGTCAGTCCCCTCGTAAGCGCAAGTGGCCCGAAAAGACTTGGCCGTTACAACTCGGCACCGGATCTAGGAGTGCGAAAGAGGAATGGTACACGTTACTTCGGCGCCGAAGGCGTCGCGAACGTTAAGTGTCCGTTGATGGAAGTTAACCGTAAGATCCGCATTTGCAAGCCAAGGCATTCCCAAAATATCATCGAAGTCCGTGTCCAAAGCGTCAAACGTCGCCAGTTCGCATGCATGAGGTGCGAAATAAACCGGCACGGCTTCAATGTATCGATCGAGGAGTTGTTGCGTCCGACCGTCCGTCAACTTGATCGTCGTCGGGTTTGACTTTCTTCGAACTTGTGCGCCAAGGCCGGCCCTTTGGATAAAGGGCTGGCTGATGAAATTGCGAGTCGCGCTGCTATCCAGCAAAGCTTTGCAAGACGCTTGCCCAACTTGGATGCGGCCATAAAGGAGTGGTGCGTTGTTATTATGGTACCGCTGCATGCGACACTCGCGGGTCACCTTGGTAACATACGCAAGGATGTCCCCCACCGCAGCTTCGTCATCCGTCGGCGAAGATGGTGGTGCATAGAAGGCTCAATATGTGTGGAGATGGGCGCATAGTGCTGCGCTTTGCGGTCCCGACAAGCAGCCTGTGGAAGGGAGAGGAAGCCATGCAAAATCCTAGGACGTCAACGGGACCCAGACCTCTATGTTGAATTTGTGCGTCGAATCCCTTGAAGAACCACTTGAAGACGACTCATTGTTGTTGTTGCCGGACGGAGAAGAAGTCGCACACACATCTTGTCCTTGAGCTTGAGAACCCAGCGAAGGAACGAGTCGGGCAGCATAGTCATCATAAGAATACAAGAGAGGACTGTCGACTTCCGCACGTGCCTCGGAATGAAGAGAGGTCGCTCGCGAAGCAACCGATTCCGAAGGCGTTGAGAGTGCAGCCGCATCACTCTCGACGGACTCACTTTCCCGAAGGGAATTTGCCTTTGACTTGCGTGGGGCACGTTGCAGTGTCTTGTACCACATTGTTGCACCACAAGCAGTATCGGTACTTAGTACGGATGCGGTACACGCCTTCTGAAATACCGTAATGTGTCCAGCCGCTGGTCCGGCCCCGGGGGCTGAATTGGTGTGTGTCTTCGGTTTGCCACGTCCTCGCCCTCTGACGGGGCGGCCACCATCACGGCCGACTGCCAATCTGTCTCCTTCCTCAAAAGAGGCAGCCTCGTTTGAAGGGTCGGTCGTTGTAGTTGTTGTGACCACGGCCACTTTTGGTCGATGCTTTCCTCTGTTGTGGCCTGCCGCAGACGAATGGCCCAAATTCTTGGCTTCGATGTTCGTCACGATGCTTTGCGAGGCTTTATCAAAAAGTTGCTCACTTGTGGTGAGTGTCTCCGTAACTTGCGTCAAGGCGTTCTGCAACGCCGGACAGCTCCTCCTGATGAAGAAGTGCTTGATAGCGACAAATGTCGACGACAAGTTGGGCGTGGATGCCAAGCATTGGTACTCGGTTATCCAGTCCGCGCTTGGCAGGTCGTTCTGATAGAACCGCTGAAGTTTCCCGGCTCCCTTAAGCTCGGGCGGCTCCACTTGGAACCGCTTATGCCATGCTGCCTTGAGAGCAGCCCAACTGATCTTCATATGCAGCTCAGAGACTGTTACGTTGTGCGTGGACAATATGTTGTCCAGCCATGCCTGGCACGTGCCTCCCGAGCGGGAGTATAAGTATGCGTGCCGGTTCGGCTTGATGACGTGGTGAATGTCCAACTTCAACTCGAACTGGCGCCACCATGGAATCGGGTCTGTCTTCGTTGCATCACAGAAGATCAGCAGTCCGTCAAACTTTGGGATGCTCTCGCGAGTAGTCGCGGTCGGACTGGCTGCGGCGGCACAAATTTGCTGGTCAATCCGCTGATTTGTCGCTAGAGTGTCGTCCTTGAGAGTCTCGACGTCGATTTCCAAGACGTTGACGCGGTCCGTCAAGTTGGAGGGTCCGATGGGGGTGCCTGTTGTAAGTTGTTGTTCCAGCCGGCGTACCCGGTCAAGCAATTTGTCAAGAAGTCAAGCCTGCTTCCGGACCAGGGTGTCCATGCAGAGGATGTCCTCTTGCTGTGCTGCACAGGTGGCGACCAAGTCGCTCACATGTTCGATTGTGGTTGGAAGGCCACGCACAGCAGAGGGGGCACCCTCCTCTTCAGCAGCCACTTCCCATTCGCCGACGATCACCTCGATATCCCCCTCGCATTCGAGGAGTTTGTCTCGGCGTAGTCGACGGCATTCGTTTGCGGCCTTCCTTGCTCCCTCAGCGTCCTCCTGTCGCTGGTGTTCAGCGAGGCGACGCTGTTCCTCTGCGTCCTCATCTTCCTTCTTACGTGCGGATGCTGCCGCAGCTGCTCATTGCTTAAATTATGCTACCATGTCCAGCATGCGGGCCTCGTATGCGCAGTTGGAGAATGATAACTGCAAGAGGGATTCCCGTACCGTTTCCAAAAAAACTGATTTCGGAATAAAAATATTCCGGATTTCCAAATAACGGGAAATTGCAGAAGGAAATCGAAATTTTCGAAAAAGAAGATATCTCAGATTCTCAACAACGAAATTTTGAATTTTCAGAAGAAAAACGAAATCGAAAATTTAGATGTTGCGCTATTGCGATTTTTCGCAACAGGAATAACAGAAAACAAAATCCAAGAAAAAAAACAAAAAACTCGAATTTCGGCACTGAGGTCAAAATCGTGATTTTGGGGGCTAACTAGTGTGCTCTAATCAATCAATCAAAACTAATCAGCTACCTAGTCCCCGCGCACGTGTCAAATCAGGTTGTCCTGATTCACGTGCGTTGTTCCGATACCAACTGTTACATGCCTAGTTGGGCAATGTACATAATAACCGAGGATCCACAATGTGATGAAAAGGACTGAATGGACAATGCAGTTGTTGCATACCGTATAGGTGCAGACCAGAACAAGAACCGACCTTTCAATACAAAGTATAAAATAGCACAGCGGAAGACTTAGATACCAATGATCCGAACAATCAATATTGCAATGCAGCCCCAAACATACATCATCATCCTCATYCCATGGTGTGAAGGGGTCTGGCGCTTCACACAGGAAGACTGCGCCAGCCCCAAACATACACAGA